CATTCATTTTAGTTAATTGGAGAAATGCATTCTTTTTAATATTGATGGACTTCCATGCTTTCACTGTAGTAGTTTTATCTACTCCTTTTGACTCATTCCATCTTCTAAAATGTTACTTATTTGATGACACTTCAATTTTTTGATGTATTTGTCATTAATTTCACAGTGGATTATTCAAATTCCTTCACTATTTTCTGTCATTATTCTCAATTCATCCATATATAATGTGTGATTTGATTTTGGGAATTTCTCTTCGATGATTTGAGAAATTACATTCATCTGAATGATGAAGAGTAGATTTGATAATGAATCACCTTGTAAAATTCCTCTATTTAATTTAATACATCATAGATATTCATTAAATTTATAACCGATGAATATCTTCCATCTAGTCATCATACTTTCAATAATGTCAATGATGACACCCTCATAATTAAAATATTTTAATGATTCAATTACTCATTTGTGGTTTACTGTGTCATATGCTTTCTTAATGTCATAATATGACTCCACATATTTTGGGTATTTTTCTTCTTTCTGCTGCTTCATCATATAACTATTAATTATTCATTCTTTAGCAGCTAAAGATTGTAATTTACATCCCAATTGATTATTACTAATTTTAAATGATTCACTATTCATGTTAAGTCTATTGTGAATCTTCTCTTTTAATATGGAGGTAAATACTTTCATAATTACATTTGTACAACTGATAGGACGATAATTAGTGACGTCGTTCCTATCACCTCCTTTGTGGATTAATAAAGTTCTTCCACTTACCATTTCTAATGGGATGTTTTGAATGAAGTTTAACCATTCATTGAAGATATTGAGAATGGCTTCTCTTGATGATGACATCCTTTTCCAATAATACCCATATATAGTGTCTATTCCTGATGCTTTCCAGTTACTTATTTTCATTATACTTAAATTTAATTCATTTATTGTTATAATGACACTATCATAATTTCTATATCTTTCATTCCACAAGGTGATTTGTTTTATTTTCCATTTCTCTTTATTTAATATCACCTGTGTTTCATATAACGATTTCCAATATTCTAAAGTAATATCGTTATTTGGGTATATTTCATTTTTTGGGTCTTTCTTCCTTATTCTAATTTTCTTATTAGAATCAAACATGATTTTATTTGTATTGATTCTGACCCTTTCTTCTTTATTAAATTTAATTCTTTCTTTTATCATTCTCATCATATATTTTAGGTATTTTATTCTTTCTAGTGCTTTGACTTTAATTCCTTCTTCATCATATTCTTTTAATTTCATGTTGAACTTTATTCTGTACAATTTCATTGACCAAATCTTCTATTCTATTTATTTTCTTTAGTATTTCTTTTATTTCATCAAATTTGTCTCCTATTATTTTATTTTGGAGATAAATGTACATAATCATTGAAATATTCTTCATATCATCTTGCAGATCCTGCATTCTGCTTCCTGACCATATCAATCTATTATTAATTTCCATTTGTTAATTTGTCAGCTTCTTTTCTTTTCCAGTAGTAATTAATGTTTGAACATTTTTCTACTTTCATTTCTTTTACTTTATTGATGAGAGTGTTAAGATATTCTTCATCAATTTCTGTAGAGTTATTCTTTAATATGATGTTTTTTATTATTGAATTACGCTCTACTCTTCTATTATATCATTTACTTTCACTTTAATGTATTATTTAGTATTTTGTTTTATTTTATGTGATATTTTAATATATTTAATATATTCTTTTTCACTATTGACATTAATGTTTGTCACTTTTATTATACTTTCTATTTGTTCCCATCTTAATTTCTTATTTAATTTCTTATTTAACCAATTAATTTAAAACAATACAACACTTCAATTAAAATTCTATTTCTTTGTTTTGTTGTATTTATTGTATTTTCATTATACTTTGTTTGTTATTTATTATTCTTGTAATTTTACATATTTCATTCATTTCTTTATTTGTGTTTTGTTTTTAATTCCTTTTTCATTTGTTTTAATGTCTTTTCTTCAATGTCTTTTGTTTTCTTTAATTTCTTCTTTAATTCTTTCAATTATCTTTTCATTTTGATTGAATATACTTCTTGTTGAATATCATTCCATCTTTTACTTTTACTTTCTTACTTCTTGAGTATTTCTGAATATTCTCCTTTATTCCATTCACTTGTTATTCTTTTTATTCTTCTTTTCTATATCATTTATTGTTATTCATTTATATTTGTTATTTGTATAATCTTTATTATTATTGTATTTATCTTGTTTCTTATTTGTTTTTCTTTGTGTCTTTCTCTTTCTAATTCATTTTTCCTTGGTAATATCATTTACTTTTATTATTATTATGCCATTCATTGTTATTGACATTCATTCTTTTATTGAATGACATGTGTATTTATCTCTTGTCTGCTTTTCTTTACAATACACAAATGATTTATACAATATCCATTGAAATAACATTTGTTATATTTCCTGCATTGGAAAAGGGTCTGAAGATAATCAAATAAAATAAACATAAAAATAAATCAATTACATAATTTCATCAATTAAGATTAAGAATAAACTTATTATTCTTTCATTTTCATTATTAAAAAAATAATAATAAAAAGAAAACAAACAACTAATAAACTAAACTGTATTTTGTTGATTTGCTGTTATCTTTAGTTATTCATTCTTGTGATTAATAAGTTAATTATTTGATCTTTCTCGTTAAATGGAATTTACATCAGAATATCTAAATGAATTAACATTTATCAAGTGAGAATTTTAAAACCATACAAAATAACCTAACAAGGTGAAAGTATCAGAATATGTATTATCAAAGGATATTCAATCGAGATCAATTCATTGAATCAATTTATTATAAAATCACTTCAACTATTCAAAGTCAATGAAATTCATCTATATTCAATTACAATGAACTTTAGAATA